TAAGCTTTGTGTTATTCATTTATTCATAGTATTTGCAAAATCCTCTTATCTTGTATTCGATTTTTTCCCCCTGCTTTTATTTTGGGCCGTGCAGTTGAAACTATCTTATGTGCTTTCCTTTTTGAAGTACTTTAAAATTTCCCATCAGCAGTTGGATACCTTCACTTCACTGAACTGTGATGGGAAGCCTTCCTGCCTGCTCTTGCTCTCTCTTAATACCCACAGTGAAGCTACACATGCTTACCCCATTTGGGTAGGAATAGAGTTCCAAGGCCCTCAACCCTGTGCATTCCCTCCAGACCAATGCTTACAACATGAGTGAAATCTCACTGCCCCCCAGTTCACCACCTAGAGAACAACCCTACTTATGGGCGATTTCAACAATGACAGGTATTTGGGGAAACGGAACAAAAGGGCATTTTCTTTAGTCTGTCTGATAATCTGCACTGCCTTTGCTGCTCCTTTTTCACTGGATTATGGAGAGTTGCCTGTGGATTGTGCTCCTACACCCACGATGCCTGGAGCCATCTGGCCATGATTTTGAGAAGAGCAGAATGAGAGCACAGAATGCAGGAACAAGTAGAACAAGCAGGCAGGGGAGAAGAGTAAAAGGAGCCTCAGAGACAAAAATAATGGGTCAGTAGGAAAAGACAGAGAAGACCAAGGAGAGAGAGAAAAGAGGTCAGACATCTGACAGTGGAGAAGATCACAGAAGTAGGAGCGGAGAGGTTGCCGGACCAGTCACTGGGCATCTCCGAGTGACAGCCAGCACTTGTTTTCACAGATGAGAATGTTAACCCAAGTGTTGATATGATTTCTCCTAGGCCAAAAGCTACTAAATTTTCTAGCCAGACCACATACTTTGTGTCTAGTACTCCTTTTATAGCAGCTGGTGTGATGGGGAGGCTGGAAGGGCTTAGACAAGAACACTGAGAAAATCTGGAAGACAGAGAGTGGGAGAGACAGAGGGGAATTTAGAGACTCTCTGGAAGTCTGTGGGGAAGGGAGGCAGAGGGGATTATCTTGTAGGGAAGTGGGCAAAGGAAGCGGTTTCTTTGTGCAACAGGGAAGTCAGATGAGGGTGCAAGAGGGTGTGGGAAGGGGTATGACATTTGAGTTCTGAGGGCAGGTGCCTTGTGGAGACATCCTTCCCCCAACAGAGCTCCAATGCTGCTCTGCCTCTTCCATCTCTTTGAGTGCCTTTGCTGCCCTTAGGAAAGCACAGCTAGTAGGAAGAGCTCAGCTGAAAAGGTTCCCGTGGTAGGGCATAGGAGAGCAGAGAGAAAGCACTGGGCAGGACGTTGGGGAAAGAAGCAATGCTCCTCTAGAATGCCCTAGCAATCTGCCTTTATAGTTAGTTTCAAGTAGGGAATTCTTGCCCACAAGTCTTGGCTTCTGTCTCTGATTTTGAGGTATGCGATCTGGTCTGGGGGAAGAGGGTATTTTGGAAATTGTGCAATCTGTGCAACTGTCTCCATCCTTCTTCTCTCTGGGTTCCTCATCTTCCTGAGGCATCTCTTCTCCCATCCCTTTACACACTCACTACTTGTCATTCTCTCTCTCTCCGCCCCCCAGGCTCTGGGATCCCACCACATCTACCAGCAGTAGAAAAGTCTCTCTCCTTTTGCATGCTCCAGATCTCCTCCTTGCCAACCACAGCTGAGTGTACACCCAGGGCTCAGGCTGGCTGGGCAAGCTGCAGACTCTTGACTGGGGCAGTGTCTTAGGCACCATCGACTCTCTGAGGCCCTGTACAGTGAGACTTCAGCAAAGAGGAGCAGAAGTACTTACAGGACCTGTTCTGGTTGTACTTTCATGGTTTTCCTCAGGAAGTACAGACCTTTGCAGGTCAATTTCACTTTGAATGTAAGTTCATTCATTGCCCCAAGCTGATAACTTGCCTGAGGGCTCCAACCATCTTTCAATGGGGAGGATAGTGTATAGGCTCTGACCAGCTTGCAACCTTTTGGACCTTGTTTCCTCTTCTGGCTCCCATTCTCTCTTCTGTTTCACCCTTCAGCCCTTCCCTTCCATATGCACAGAACGATCTTACTGTACAAATCTCTTCATATGCCAGATATACCATTGTGTTTTGCCTCCGTGAATGGTTTTCTCCTCTTGGTCTTCTGCTCACTGTTATTAGGATGGTACTCAGCATTTTCCCATGCTTCTGCCTCTTTTTTCTGTGGTCTATGTATTCACATGGCCTGGTCTGTACTTAATTCCTTTTATGTTAATTTTTTCAGACCACTCTTCCATCTTCCTGAGACCATTCCCATTTACCTCTTTCCCATTAATGATTTCAAGGTACTTTTATGACTTTAAATTTTTCTTTCCACACATTTTCACCTTCTTTCCTATTTAAGCTCTAGTCTCCCACATGATTTCTCAAAAAAAAAATTTCCCTCCCTTGAATCTCTTGGCTTTCTAAATTGTTTTTATTCTTTCTTGTCATACTTTTCATATTAATTATCTCTTCCCGACCACCCCCAGGCCCCTTTGAGCTCCAGATATCAGCCAGCTGTAGAATTCATGGTCCTGGGAGGCCTCAGAATGCTCCCATTTAGGGGCATATCAAGCATCAGATATCCTGAGTTTCCAAGTACGTTCCTGGGAGCTAGCTCCAGGAGCAGGGAGCCGAGCCCAGAACTTCTATAAGGTGCTCAATCAATACCAAGATATTAAAGAAACAGTATGGGACCTCCTTGGTCACACCTGCCCTCGATTTCTGGCAGACCCCCTTGAAGCAGGGAAGTCAGAACTGGAATGACAAGGTGATCCCAACTCTCTCCCCACTTGTTCCTAGTGTTTTAATGTTTATGTTTGAATTTGCCAATAATCATTTTCATTTAGAGACACAAAATGAGAAGCTACAGGGTGAGATATGTGGGTTTAGCATTGTTTCTTACACAAGAGGAAGAAGTGATTACTCCAAGTACTAAGGCACCTGAGTCCTTGAGCTCTGGCAAGTCCATTTCTCTCCATCCTCTTCTGCCTAGTGAAGCTCAAGGCCTGACTGTCTAGTGGCCCCAGTCCCAGGCCTGGCCGTCTGTAGCTGGTGTGCCACGTCTCAGGATTCTACCCAATGCCTGTGTGGGTTATGTGGATGTGGGGTGACCAGGAGCAACGAGGCACTCAGAGAGGGGATGTCCTGCCCAGCGCTGATGGGACATGGTATCTCCAAGCAACCCTGGATGTTGTGGCTGGGGAGGCGGCTGGCCTGTACTGTCGGGTCAAGCACAGCAGTCTCTGGGGTGAGAAGGAACTGGGCCCAACTGGGAAATTATGGAAGATCGTCCTGGGGCTTTTGAGTGAGGAGCTGAGGAAACGAGTAGGAATGCCAGGTACCAGAAGGATAAAAGTGGGAGAATTCATGTATTGACGGGTAGAGAATGTCCACAGTTAGAGTTCAAGAAAATAGAAGTAAGGGATTAGATGTAATAAAGAGAAAATAAGTGAGAGCAGTGATTTAATGGAAAAGTTATGGGAGATCGCAGACATGGACTCAGGAGAACTTGAAAGGAGGACTCTAGAAAAAACACATGCAACCTCTAGGAAGGGCCCGCACTTTTGGAATAAGAGATCAGTGGTGGGGTAAAGAGTGTTTTATGGCTTGGATAGAGAATATGCTATGGGTTGACATCTTTATTTTATCCCCAACCAGGTGGATATTCCATCCTTCTGTTCTTGATCTGTTTGTAGCAGTTATCGTGGTCATGTTGGCTATAATCGACTCAAGGTTTAAAAAACAGAGGTGAGCCTCTTTTTGTTCTTTGCTTCTTCAACCTCTAATCAACGTGTTCTTTTTCCTCTCATTCATTTTGCCTTTCCTTCTTTGTTTCCAATTGCACTTCTTTTAGATTAAGATCCTCTTTTTTCCCCATGGCTCAAGTCAGAAGATTCACTCCCTTCATGTACCCAGCCCAGCCTTTCCCATGGGAACCAAGACCCAGGACACCAGGAGTTTAGGACATGAGCTCTGCCTGGCAGAAGAATTGTGGCTCAATATAGACTCCTGAAGAAGTGCAAGACTAACTTAAAGCAACTTTGCTGTCATTAGTCTACCTTATACATAAAAATATTGTCTGCATCTGAAACATAGCTCACGTCCAATAAAGGAAACGTGTTTTATTAAAACAGCTTGTTGTAGCAAGGATACTCATCTCTTTAGAAATATTTTTCATCTTACAGCAATATTTTTTCTGGTTTGGTCACATATTCATCACAATTGCTTCTTCAGACTGTAATTCAGATGGTACTTTCTCAAGGATCTTCTCATCTTCGTCAAACCGAAAGCTCTTCTGTATACCTAAAATTGAACTGGTCTTCATAAACACACAATAGCTTCCTACTCAGGACAGAAACTACTTAAATTTTGGCTTTTTCTTTTCTCTCACTTGCTTGACTGTATGCTTTAAGTATTTGTGTCTCTGTTCAAGTCTTATCTGACTTGAGGGCATCTTCGTTAGCATGTGACCTATGTAGAGACACAGGATCTCATGCTCTGTGGGGACCCATGCTAGGTTTAATGCTCCACTGTTTTTATCTTGAAATTCTTAATACATATCAAACAAGAGACACTGCATCTCTGTTTTTCACTGACCCCATGAGTTATGTAGCTGGTTCTGCCTGTAGGTAATATTATCAATAAATGCTGACAGAAATATATTTGTTTTCAGATCATGTGATTCTTATCCCATTCCTTCTCTGACATCTCTGCATCATTTTACTGTACTTGTATTCAAACTTTTCCTGTCTCCTTGTGTGTCTCACCAGAGGTAAAGGAGGCAGATGAGTGCCTCAGACTCCACAGAGATTGGGGTGTTAATGCATCTTTAGGGATAGTTAAAGAAAATATTAACATGTGAAGTTTTTTTTTTTTTTTTTTGTTTGGTCAAAGTGAGAATAGGGTTAAACTGTCATTCCAACCTTCCTAGCTTGTGTTTTTAAGCTCTGTGTTTCATACATGTGGAGGGATTCATATTTTGAGAGATCTGAAAGAGGATATGGGATTTGAAGGAAATTCCAGTAGACAAAGTTAAGCTAAGGCAATGGAGTCAAAGAGTTAATTGATGCCAGATAAGGGACATATTTTCTTTTTTATTATTATAATAATTTTTAATAGATTGCTTTTTAAAGGTTTTTTATGTTGATTCTTGATTGTTTTTATCTTTAGTTGAGATACATTTGATTGATCCTTTTAAGAGCAGGAGGTTCTTAAGGTGCAGAGTTCATATAGATACTGGGTCAGTCACATTCCTTGGATGGGATAATCAGGTAGATTGTGTGAAATTTTTAGTGGAAGTTTACAAATTCATTATGGATATTTTCAAGTAATCAGACAGGGTTTTATGATACCTTATGTAGGCTTCATTCTTATCCATGAATGAGGCATTGAGGCCAGCCCTAGTTGAGTCATCAACTTCTGTGTGACCTATTCAGATAACCTATCTAGAGGGAGGCAAAAGGAGTTCAGAGAGGAAGGTGGAATTTTAAGGAATTGTTTGGAGGAATAAATTATGAAAGTCAGTTTTCCATCACTTGGCATAAGATCATAGGGATGACTTCTAAGAAAATGAGGAGGTTCAAGTAGGGACGTTCCAGTTTCTGGCACAAAGTGTACAGTAAATCAATATTTCTAATATGTCCTGTTTAAATGGACTTTACACTATGACTTTACTTTTTTGGTCACAATAATTCTGGATCTGCTGATCTGGGCCAAACTAACTCCTCTGCCTCCATGTCCAAAATCCCCATACTAAATATTGTGATTCTGTGACACTCAATTTCCTTCTGTCTCATAATTATGTCAAGCTTTTTCTCAGCTCAATGTCACTTACAAAGGCAGAATTTGCTGACTAGCCAAACTAGCAAATTCGACTTCAGTCACATTCAATTCCAGTATTTTTAATGGTTTATTTTGAATAATTAATTTGGTTGAAATTACCTTATTCATTTTTAAGTGTTGATTGCTTTTCTCATCTAAGATATGAGCATTATATCATCATGAATTTCATGTATCTTGATCATATTTGTATGCCAGTGCTTGTAGTTTGACATTTAGTGTGTGGTTAAAATATTTTTGTTGAGTGAACAAGCAACAGGAAACTTTGCCTTTCCAGAAGAGATTTTAGTGAAGCCAGTCATTATGTGATAGGTCGTAGAGTTTCAGGTACTGAAAGTGGTGGTATTCCACAGTGCTGGTATTACTTAAAAACTGTAGGAGGATGATTGGTATTGCACAAAGATGGCAAAATGTTCTCTCTTAGTTCTCTTTTATTTAAGTCGTCGCCTAAAGTTAACCTAATGTTGACACCTAAAGTTAACTGTTACAAGGCCTATCTGATGTGGTTGGAATATGAGTATTACTGACACACAGAGTTTGGACAGGAGTCTTGAGTGGGAGCTGGGCCCAAGCACAGACCTGAGCCTTCTCTTCCCCAGTGGGGCCTTCTCCAGGTTTAAAAGGTGAAGTAGTTGGCATGGCTGATGAGATGGTTGTGAAGATGAAAACACCTTGTGAAAACCAGACGCAGGGCTTCTCAGGAAGCTTGAGGTCCAGTGCCCCACGGAAGAAGGAAGGACTCACCCTCCAGCTCAGAGTGTGAGAGTCCCTGGCTCTATGGAGAGACCAGCTGAGGCTTCACAAGCCAGCACTCATGCAGGTGTGTGCTGGGCTTGAGCTGCAGACCTGTGTGAGACTGAGTGCAGGGGAGGTGGCTGTGGTTGGCTAAGGATTTCCTTGGGGCCCCGAGGCTCTGGAGATACAAACACAGGCCTCAGTTGCTCTGTCTGGGGGTGGAGTGAGGAGAGTGAGATGCTGACTGGGTCAGGCCTTGCCACTCTCCCCCTCAGTGTGGCTTCTTAAGCCTGAAGTCATCTTAGTGTGGGACACTTGTTTCATTGATGGGGACTTGGAAGTGGAAAGACTATTGCTCTGAGAGGATGAAGACGTGGACCTAGGCCTGACTCTGCCACCTACCCACTTTCCCGACCTTGGGTTCACCAATTCACCTCTTTGAAACCTCAATTTCCTCATCTGTAAAATGAGAAACTAATCATAACGATACTCTTGTGCCTGTCACAGGTAGACATTTGGGAGGCAGTGATGATGGGTTAGCTCTGAGAAATGCCTGTTATGTAGATTTAGCAGTAACAGATTAATCAAGCTCCTGCATCTCCATGGGTCAGAATCTTCCCTTTCTTTTCCTATGGAACTCAGCCCAAGATAGGCTATTGCCTCGTTGCCATAGGCACAAGAGCCCAGCTTGGTGACCTGAGCACAGAACCTTGCATCATCCACATTTGGGGTCCTTTATCCCCAGAATGTTTTTCTCATAAAGATGGTTCTCAATTGTCACACACAAAATGGTGCAGTTGTTTCTATTTCTACTTTTGCAGCTATAGTAAATAAGTTAAAAAAGATTTACCAGCTCTATTGGTCTTCAAACCCACCCATGCCAGTGAAAGAATACCATATTCCATTTTCCTTTAGTTTTTTTTTTTGCCAGCAACTATCTTTAATATTATTTATTGTGTTTTTAACATTTTTAGTAGCAGAAAACAGCATTTTCTTATGGCTCCTTTTTAGGAAAAAAGGCTTATGCTAAAGGGTATATTTTAACTCCATGTTTTTTTGGTATAGAAAAACAGCCTATTGCATGGCCAGAGTGACACCATATTGAAGCAAAACAGCTTTGATGACCGATGGTTGACTCTTGCACCTGCAGCAAAATCTTTAAACTCTGTCCATAGCATAGATAACCCCTCACAGAGAAGCCATGTGGGTAGCATAGATAAACTCATGAAAATGCTTATCTAACCTCAATACCAGTCACGAGTTTCACAAGAAAGACTGAGGCAAGAGCAGCATCACTTGTTCAACCATGAAAGTTTGCTATATAAAGGATATTTTCTGGTGGTTGGTGCAGGTATCCACTGTCTTGCAGCCCTCCAAGACATCACTTCTGTTCATAATTTTCTATCAATATCAGTTCTAATAGACTGGATTTGTCAGTCTCTTTCTTTGACCTCTCTTCTTCCTCCGACTTCTGAGTAGGTACCCACATTCAGTAGGGCTGAGGAAACCAACTCAAGCCAGACATCCCAGAATGGCTTTCCAGAGCCACACTGTAGACCTGGGGCTGAGAGAGCTACTGCCTCTGTCATGGACAGGAAACTGCAGGGTCAGGAGCAGCTGGTTGTGACCAGGCCATTGCTGCCAGCATTCCCTGCTGGCAAAACCTGCCTGGTCCTCACATAGTTCAGTCTCCATAAAAGCTGTGTGTGTCAGAAACAGAAAACCAAATACTGCATGTGGTCACTTATAAGTTAGAGCTAATCACTGGGTACACATGGGCATAAGGACAATTGAACAGATATTGGGGGACTCTAAAAGAAGACAAGAGAGGGAGGGACATGAGGGTTGAAAAATCACTATTTTGGCAACGGGTGCATTGGAAGTCAAATCCCCCACCATCATGCAATATATCCTTGTTACAAACCTACACAAGTATCTCTTGAGTCTAAAATACATTTTCTTAAAAAAAGATTATTTAAAAGTCTTGTGTATGCAAAATCACTGGTGAGACCTCAGCCGAAATGCATCTGGAAAATGCAGTTTGAGTTTTTCATACACTGCGGTACTGGAGGGCATCCTAGATCAGGGCGTAAGAGGTGTTGAATGAGCCAGTCCATGGCATCTGCCAGTTTGTCTTCACGACTTGCTTGAGCTTTGTTTGACCCTTGTCCAGTGAGT